AAGCTGGTAGGCAGAGCAGCCAGCATTCAAAACCAGGCCATCTAGGTCTGGAGCCTGCCCTCCCACCCCCCAGGTTGGAGCTGTTGAGTAGCTTGCTTGAGGTCACCGAGTTACAGATGACAAAGCTGAGATTCGAACCCAGGTCTGTAGATTTGAAACGGCTAACGCTCGTGCCAAACTATGTTCCAGATCGTCATTGACCACTTTACCCATCCCGCCTCCCAGGCCCCCGGAGTTAGAGAATTGAACTTCAAGTTGGAAGAACTTTTAGGTTAGTCTTAGCTTGGGCAGGATCCCACAGACTGGGGGCTTACACAACAGCCATTTAGTCTCACAGCTCTGGAGGCTGGAAGGCCACATCAGGGGCCAGCGTGGTCAGTGAGAGCCCCCTTCTTGCTGTGTTGACACATGGCAGGGAGAGAGGGAGCCACCTCTCCGGGGTCTCTTCTCATCCCCGGGGCTCTATTCCCATCATGGGGGCCCCCCTGACCTGACCAGATGACCTGCCCTCATTTAAACCCAGTTACCCCTCAAAGGCCCCACCTCCAAACACCAGCACATTAGGGGTTAGGACTTCAACACAGGAATTTTTGAGGACACATTTCAGCCCATAGCAAGGTCACAGATGGTTTTGTCCTTCTGGTGAGGACACTGAGTCGGGGAGGGGCTGTGAGTGGCCTGAAGTCGCTCTGTGAGGAGTGGTAGGCAGGCCCCGCCCTCCAGACTTATGCGCACTGTCCAGAAGGGGCCCACCCGAGACCACACTCACCTGTATCTCTCTCCTCCTTCCAGACGGAGCCTGTGGCTGGTGAGGCCGCCGAGCAGGGCCAGGCCGGGCCCTGCCCGCAAGGACGCCCAAGCCCTTTGCCGGCCCCTGCGCCGGGGAGCCCGCCAGGCTCTCCTGCTGGCACTGCCATGACTTCGGAGCCCACATCACCCCCGGTCGTGCCCCCACTCCACTCTCCCAAGTCCCCTGTCTGGCCCACCTTCCCCTTCCACCGGGAGGGCAGCAGGGTCTGGGAGAGGGGCAGTGTCTCATCTCGGGACCTGCCCAGTCCCCTGCCCACCAAACGGACCAGGACATATTCAGCGTGAGTACCTGCCCCTCGCCCGGGTCCCAGTGCTTTCCCCAGAACAGGGCTCCAGGCCCAGCTTGCTCAGCCCCATCCTTCTCCAACCCGTTATCCTCACCCGAGGACAGGGGAGCTGTGTATGGACCTTCCAGTAACTGCAAGTGTTCATTCATTCATTCATTCTACAAAGATTTATCGAGCTCCTGACAAAGGATGAATAGGACAAAGTCTCAGCCTGTGGGCTGCTTACAGGCCAGAGGGAATTTGTCCAGCATTCACTACCACCAGGCAGGGTTGGGGGGAGGACCCAGCCTTGGCCATCGGGGAAGATGATGAGTTTGGAAGATGTATCAGTGAAGGAGGAAGCTGAGGTTCTGAGCCGATGGAACAGCCTGGGCAAAAGCTGAAGCAGGGGGCTGACCTTTGGAGCGGGGTGGGCAGGCTGGAGGGAGACCAGCCCTGGGCCTTTGGGGTAGGTTACCAGGTGGGATCAAATGGGGGAGAGGGTTTATGGGAGCCACAGGGAGACTGACTTGACTCGGCCAAAGCAGGAGTTTTTGGTGGTAAGTGCTGATTCTTCTCTGTGTCCAACTCAAGGCGAGGTACGGAACAGATGCCTAATAAACGATGAATGAACGGATGATGACAAATGAGTGAATAGGATATCACTGCTTCAGGAGATAGTGAGCTCCCCATTTCGGGAGGTATTTAAGCCTAGGTTGGACATTTTTCACTCAGAAATCTTTCAGCGGGAATCCATGTAAGCCCGAACTACCTTGGGGGGAGGGTGCTGTGCAGAGACAGGGGCCCTGACTGGGAGTCAGGAGACCCACTTGCTGTGTGCCCTGAGAGAACCAGTTCCCCTCTCTGGGCCCCAGTCTCCTTATCTGTCGAACGGGATGAGAGGACTAAGCTGGTGTAACTGTGTGTGGTTTGGGGCCTGGGGAGGGTTTCCCAGAGCCCTGAGGCAGGCTCCACAGGCAGGGCCCAGAAGGGCTGGGGGGGGGGGGTCCAGGGAGGGGCCTCCCCAGGCCACAACTCCAACCCCCCTACCCTATCCTCAGGACAGCCCGTGCCTCGGCTGGCCCCGTGTTCAAGGGCGTCTGCAAGCAGTTCTCACGCTCACAGGGCCACGGCTTCATCACCCCCGAGAACGGGTCCGAGGACATCTTCGTGCACGTGTCTGAGTGAGTCCCTCTCGCCTCCCCATTCAGGGCTGGGCACGTGCTGTAGGGTCCCCAGCAGTGCCTCAGGACATGCCTCTCCCCTCACTGGCTGAGCTCTGTGTTCTGGCACCGGTCTCTTCCTCTCAGTATGGGCTGAGGGCAAGTGGAAGGAGGTGGGCTGGGGCCAGGTGGGGAGGGGGCACTCAGACCCCAGAAGCCCCAGGAACCACTGACCGAGCCCTGGGACGCTGTCTCAGCATCACGGGGGCTGAGAGGGCCGGGACAGCCCCCAGCCCTAACGCCAGGCATGAGCTGGGGAGGTCAGTGGGCTTTTCTAAGCCTCAGAGAACTCCCTGCGCCCTCTCCCATCTCACTCAGTCCCCAAACAACACAGAGGAAGGGACTGTTGATTCCCACTTTACAGATGAGAGAGCTGAGGCTCCGAGAAGGGAGGCTGGCCCAGGCTCCCGGCCTAGCTAGGCCCAGGGCTGGGCCACCATCAGGCCAGGCCGCAGCGGGTGTCGGGGGAGTGGGGCCTGCCACTGGGCTGATGCCCCTCTCCTGCCCACCAGCATCGAGGGGGAGTACGTGCCAGTGGAAGGCGACGAGGTGACCTACAAGATGTGCCCCATCCCGCCCAAGAACCAGAAGTTCCAGGCCGTGGAGGTGGTGCTTACCCAGCTGGCCCCACACACTCCCCACGAGACGTGGTCGGGCCAGGTCGTGGGCTCCTAGGCTGGGTGGCTCACGTGCCGGCCGCCGGGTTGGGGGAGCCACATAGGGAGGACAAGTGGCAGCTGGCTCTGTGCCCCACTGCACTGGCTGACCCAGTGGCCTCAGTGTGCACATCTGTCTGTCTGTCTGTGCTTGTGGCCGTGAGCATGTGCCTCCATCCACCCCATGACCTGTGACTGTTGTGTGAGCTGGACTGACGGGGAGGCCACTAGACCCGCCTTCTCGGGTTGTCTGCTCTCCATCCTTCCCCCTACCACACACCACAGGACCCTCTCACCTCCTGCCCACCCATCCACATGTCCACTGAGCCTCTGATGCCTGCATCAGGCCTGGGGCTGGGAGGCAGGGGGCACCAGTGGGTCCCCTGCCTGTACAAGCTTGCCCCGCCGCCTCGGCCCCAGACCTGGCCTGGGGACCAGACTCTGCTTGTGCTCCTTACACCTCCCACTCTGGGCCAGGTCTCCCACTGTGGCCTGGACCCCCTACCCCAGAAGCCAGGCCAGTGAGGGCTTTGGGGCGGCCTCCTAGCCTTTGGCAGGGGAAGAGGGCAAAATGTGGAGGCAGACAGACCCCTCCCCGCTCCATGGCCCAGTCTTCCTCCTCTCCTCTCAGCACACAGGAGAGGCAGGAAGAGGGGCCTGGGGGCAGAAGGCAGTTTGGGGACTCCAGTTTTGCCGGCCACAGTCCCTCCTCCTTGGCCTGGCAATGGCTCTGTGAACCCCAAACTGAGGCCATGTCCCCTTCCCTGGGCTGTGCTGCCTCCACCAGAGGGTTGGAGCCCGTCTCCCCCAGCCTGGATGGAGCCATCTCCTTTGCTGACTCAGACCCCACTGATGCTCTGCCCGTGCTCAGCCACAACGGCTGCTGAGGCCCCAGTGATGGATGGACACACAGCCAGGCCAGGGCACTCACCAGGACGGCTCTCAGTTTGGGAGCCCACCAGCCCTGCAGCCCCTTTGCTGGACCCTCTTCTCAAAGCTGCGAGATTGCGGCTCCCACTGGCCCCCAACAGGCCAGTGGCTGAGGTGTGGTCCCTGTCTTGTCTGTCCCTTAAGATGTGTGTGTGTGTGTGTCTCTGTCTGCATTCACTCTTGGGTGGGGGGTTGGCCTAGCCTGGGAGGCCAGGAAGGAGGGCCAGCGTCTAGCCCCTCTGAACCACCATACTCCCTTCCATAGAACGCATCACCTGACAGGGGGAGAAACGAGGTTGAAGAGAGGGCCTGCCAGGGACAGTGACCCTTAGGTGACCCAGTCTGTGAGTAAAACTGGGGGCTCAGATGCCCAGGATGAGGAGATCACTGACTGTCAGGAGGATCCCTGGCTCTGTAGGTGCCCCAAGGTCCCAGGTAGAGATCAGCTGTGCATCAGATGTACATCCCACCCCTGCCCCAGTCCCCGACCAGGGGCTGGGAGCCCAGAGTTGCTGAGATGTGCTGACCAGCCCCCCAAAACTGAGAATGGCCCAGCCTGATGCCCCACTCTGGGCTGGGTCTACTCCAGTAAGGCCTGAGGGCTTTCCCTTGAGGACCCCCTGGCCTCCTTGGTGCAGGTTAACTGCTGGGAGCCCCCCAAGACCCCCTCCTGTGAGTAGGTCCCTGTTTTAGGCACTAGCCAGGAGGTATGATGTAGTAACGTCAGCCCTGGGCTGCCGGGGGTGGCAGAGGGGCACCAGCGCCCCTCCTTGCTCACAGCCCCGCAGTGTCCAGTCAGAACTCCTCCTGAGACCCCAGCCACCCAGACGGCCCCATCCTTCCTAACACTGGCAATAAACCCTCAACTGTGACTCAGCCTGGCCCAGAGCTGCCTCTGTCCGTCTGGGTCCTGGGGGAAGGGGCTGGGGGAGGACACCCCAAACCAGCCCTTGTTGGGGGCTTCAATGGCCCACCCTCTTTGACCGAGTCAAAGCCTTCCTGTGTGACCTACAGCAAGTCCTTGCCATCTGTGCCTGTTTCCTCATCTGCAAAGTGGTGGCTGTAACAGCATCTGTGACTGGGTCTGACTATGCATTCAGAAGGGTTTGACGCCATACCTTGTTGCGGGAACTTTAATATTCGTGAGATAAAGTTCTCGCCATTTGCACCTTCCCTACTGCTCTGCATCCCATCTGGGCCCGGCAGGCAGGGCGGGCGCCATCTCGTCCCAGCACTCGCACACGCCTCCTCCCCAAGTAGACAGGACCCTGTCCTGTTCAGAAATACAAGCAGCAGCAGTAGCCAGGGCCATCGGGGTGAAGGACGGAGCCAGTTCCATGAGGGACGGACTGGCTGGGGGTAGTCGTCCACACAGACCCTGGGAATATCAAGGTGGGCCTTGCAGCAGGTAACACGAGGCAGGCATCCTGGGGCCCGGGTACCCGGCCCAACGCCAGGGCCAGGGGCTTTCTTTAGGCCTGGACGGAGCTCTCTGGAAGTCCTGAGGGGCCGATATGGCTGTGGTCATGCCTCGTGGGCTGTCTCTGGGAAAAAGATCTCGCGGCATCGTTGTACTGTGTCCTGAGGGGAGACCACACTGTGGCCGACGGTCCGGGGGTCAGCGTAGATCTCGAAGTCGTTCCCACCCTGCACACAGAGGAAAAGCAGAGAAGGCACATAGATAGGTGGTGCCTCGAAGAGGTTCCCAGGGTTGGGGCCCAGCAGCCACCGGACATGGGGCACCCTGCCTACACTGGCTGCTACAGAGCTGCCCCTCCTCCTACCCCCTTAGAACCACCAGGAAGCCCACCTTCTCAGCCTTCACCAGATCTGCCCTGACTTGCTGTGTGACATGCCGCAAGTGTCCAGCCAGCTCTGGGCCCTAGCCTTCCAATCTGTGTAATGGGGCTGGAGAGCACTGGCTGTTTCTGGGAGTCTCCCAGGAGGACTATTCTGTCGCCCTGTGTCCTGGCCTTGACCTGGGGGGGACTTTGGGTGGGAGGGACTGGGTTGAGCCACACTCACGGGGCTGGTCTCATTCCCAAAGAAGTGGATGGTGTCGAAGCTGTCCTGGTCTAGGCTGTCCAGGCAGTAGCGCTTGTCCCAGCCCTCAGGGAAGACATCAAAGCTGATCATGCCTCCTGCGGGGGGCAGACAGAGGGGCGACTCGCTGGGTGGGCTTGGGCAAGGGCCTTCGTTCATTTATTCATTCGACAACCCTTGAATGCCTACTTAGAGCCAGGCACACAACATGGCACAGACTCAGGATCATGGGAGTTACAATCCAGGGGGATCACAGGCGGTGAACAGATCAGACCACCCCAGAGCATACAAGTCAAAGGGGTGGGGGAGGGGAGCCCCACAGTCAGTATGATCAGAGAAGACCTCTCCGAGGGGGTGACACCGAGCCGAGGCCTGAGCCAGAGTGGCGATGGCTGGGGAACAGAGTTCCAGGCTCTGGCACAGCAAGTACAGTCCCCAAGGCAGGGAAGGGCGTGGCATGTCCCAGCACAGAGAAGGCTGGGAGAGGGCATACAGGCCCTGGGGCCCAGGGTTTCAGCAGAAGTGTGAGGAGGAGCCTCTGGAGAGCTGTGAGCAGGGGTGTGACATGGTCTGTTCTGTAAGGATCCCTCTGGGCACCGTGGCGAATGGACTGGAGGACGAGGTGGCAGTGGGAGACCAGCTGCATTGGAGTTAGCTGGAGCCTGGGGTGGGGCTGCTGGCAGTGGAGGTGTGAGCAACGGTTGGATTCCAGAAGCATCCTGGACATAGCGCCCTAGGACTTGCTGGTAGACTGGACTTGGGAAGGGGTGAGGGAGATGCGCAAGGGAGACTGGTTTGTGGCCTGAGCAACTGGCCGGGCAGCAGGGCGTGGACGGGGTTTAGGTGGAAGCCTGGGGGCCCTGTAACGTACTGAGTCCCTGCCTGCCTGGGCTCAGCCTGCCCTGCTGTGCCGAGGGGCGGGAGGGGTCTTCAAAGATGCTGGGGAGTGCAGCCTGGCCTTGGGAAGGGGAGGGGGTCCGAGCGCAGAGGCCCGGGGTGGGCCCCTGGGCCAGGCCTCTGAGGCCCTCTGCGAGTAGACTCACCTCGGGAGAACCTCAGCCCTTTGCCGGCAAACTCTGTTTCCAGGGCTTCCACGAACTTCTCCCGGATCTTCTCCTTCTGCAGAAGGGAGGGCAGACGGAGGCTCAGAGGGCTGCTGTGTGCCGGGCCCTGTGCTGGGCACACAACTCGTGTGAGCTCACTAAGTCTTCCGGCGGAGAACATGACCCCCACCTTACAGATGAGGAAACTGAGGCTCAGAGAGGGGCTGTGCCTTGTTCAAGGTGACCCAGCCTTAGTGGCAGAGCCAGGGCCTAAATCCAGAAGGTCCGTGACGAACTCAGTGCCAGATCCTGCCAACGGGGCTGTGGACGGGGTGTTTTGGAGCGGGGCTTGGAGTAGAGGCTTGAGGAGGGAAGTCTCGGGGAGGGGACAGTCTGAGTCCCAAGTCCCAGCATCTACCTCAGGGCAGGGCTCAGCCCAGCTCAATGCAGCAAACCGTGGCTCAGACTCCAGAAATGAGCACCAGGAGCCAAGAGCACGGGAGACCTGTGAAGAAGCGGCAGTGGGTGCTCAGAGAGGTCAGCAGGAGCCCTGGCGCAGCCACAGCACCAACCATGCAGCGACGACGTGCGTTTGCTGACCGCCTCCTCTGGGCAGGGGGCTGTCTGGGCTGGGGGACTCAGAAGTACCCAGGAGTCCCTGGCCCCTGCCCCTCTGGGCAGGACCTTGAAGTCTGCAGCATCTCTATAAACACGGAGCAAGGAACGTTTACTCACTAGCCTGGCCCTGAGGAGGCCACAGAGGGGAACAGCCATGGCCGGCCTGGAGGGGTACCCGAGTCGGTTGCCGTGCTAATGGGGGCCAGCGCCACAGGAGCAGATGGCTGACTCAGCGCAGGCTCACTGTGGCCCAGGTACGGCGTGGGCAGTCTGGATGCGGCCGAAGTGGGAGTGAGAGCTCGGCAGGATGAGCAGCTCACAGAGGGCCTGGAGGCCAGCTGGGGAGTTTGGACACATCCTGGGGGACCAAGATCCACTGAGGATTTTGGAGCATGAGAGTGGAGTGGAATGCCTAGTGCTGAGTTTTAGTCAGTCAGAGTTGGTAGGACTGGAATGGAAAGGCGGGTGGTAGCCAGCAGTTCGGAGCCAACAGAAGTGCTCCAGAGAGGATACGAGCTATAAAGCCAGATGACTCAGCCTGAGATACAAAGGCAGGCGGCCTGTCTTCCCGGCCTGGCTGCTGTGATTCCTGACCGTGTGACCATCGGCAAATCACCTGACTCCTCTGAGCCTATTTCCTGGGCTAAAGGATGGAGGAGTAGTGAATGACCCCTGCCTGCCTCCCTCTCATGGAAAAGCAGAGATGAGGGATGTGAGCCCCCTGCCAGCCTTGGCCTTGCCCTCTTAGCAGGCAGGTGGGCCCCCAGGGAGGCCAGAGTCCCCACCAGAGGCCACTCTGTTGGCCCAGGGTTAGAGCTAAGGGTGCCCCAAGTGCTGAATAAATGTTCCCACATGGCCCAGGATGGCTGTACCTTCTGTCTCTGGAGAACCAGGCTGGTCACTGGACAGCCCCACGTGCCAAGTCCAGCCTCAGCAGGGACCAGCACTGTGACCTCGAGCTGGTCACTTACCCTGCGGCCTCAGTGTCCTCATCAACGGAACGGGACTACCTATCCTCAGGTTTGAGGGACTGAAGGAGAGTAAAGCGCTGGCATGGGATCTGGACCAGTGTAGGGCACAGACCAGGAGGCTCACGCTCTTCTCCAAAACCAGAACGGGGTGGACAAGAACCAAAAAGACAAGAGAAGACCCTCGGGGCAGTGGGAGGAGTCAGTGTGTGCAGACTCCACTCGCCCAGCCCTCATCACAGCCCATGAGACGGAACCATGACTGCCCCCACCTCACAGATGAGAAAACAGAGGCACAGTGGTAAGGCCACTTTTCCAGGTTATTTGGCAAGTAGGAGGTGGAGCTGGGACTGGAAACTGGGGTGGCCTGAGAAGAGCCCCCTCTCCATTGTGTGTGGGAGGGGGTTTGCTGCCAAGGGTCAGTCTTAACCACTCCAACCAGAAAAGTCTCCATGCCTGTGGCATTGCCTACTCTAAGTCTTGGGACACAGGGTGGGAGTGGGGGTGGGGGTCAGTGAATCAGGAGGTGTCACTGAGAGTCCCACTCACCCTCAGGGAAGCATCAGAGGGCAGCAGGCGGAGTCTGAAGTTCAAACGTTTGCTCTGCAACCAATTTCCTGTGTGACCTTGGGCAAGTCACTTCCCCTCTCTGAGCCTCAGTTCCTTCATTCATAAAATGGGCATTATACCACCTATGTCATTCATGCACAAGTATTTCTTGAGCACTTGCTATGTATCAGCCATGTGTTGGGCAGAGGGGACCCATCAATGAAGAGCCACAGAAATCCCGGCCCTAAGGAACCTATAGCTTTGCTGGAGGAACCAAACACTAACCATGATTTAAAAATAGGTCATAAGGGTATCAGAGGGTGGCGATGGCTGCTGGGGAGAAATAACACAGAGGCGAGGAGCGGGAGGTGTGAGGGGTACAACGTGAACTGCAATGCCCAGAGGAGGCCCACTGAGAAGGTGACATCTGAGCAGATGTGAAGGAGGTGAAAGGATGAGCTGTGTCAGAGGGCACTGTGTTTGGGGCAGAAGGGACAGCCCTGAAGTGGGAAACGGTCTGCCATCTCTAGAGTCAGCAAGGATGACGTGGCTGCAGCAGAGAGAGGAAAGGGGAGAGCAGAAGGTCAGGTGAGAGAGCAGGATGGACACGGGCCAGCGTGAAAAGGTTGGCTGGCTGGACTCCTCCATCCCTGAGAGGGAGGCGGCGGGCGGTGGGGACGACAAGCAAAACGCACGTCAAGGTTTAGCAGGGGCAGCACATTCAAAGGCGACGGGGACCTTGGGATGCTCTAAGAACAGATGCACAGGGAGAAGTTCAAGGGATGGGCTTGAACCAGGCAGACCCCTCAGGGCAGGGGCACCACGGGAGGGGGCTGCAACAGTGTCCAGTTGGCAAGGGGAGCCATGGAAGGACTCATCAGGGAGCAGACAGGGCAGATGTGCTTTAAAGGTTCTCAATGGCACTGCAGCAGAACAGACTGGCAGGTTTTATCAGGGTGGGAGGGAGACACACACAGGCGAACAGATCTGAAACCAGCCCTGGAGGCTCCATCAGTAGGAATTACCATTGGACCCTATGTGGGTGGGGAGGTGGAAATGATGCCCTAGGTGTTGGCTTAGATAAGCAGGTGCTGGTGGTGCTGGTCACCAAGGGAGGGAAACCAGCAGTGTTGGACAGATGCAGAAATGTCTACAACCAGGGCACACGGTAGGTGTCCAAAAGGGTATGGGTTGAAACAGAACACCGCCCACCATCAATACATTTCACTGGTGAGAAAATAAAGGCTCAGAGAGGTTGAGTGACTGAGGTCATACAGCCTAAGGTTGCACAGTTGGTGGCACCTTGTCCAGCTCGGAGAACTCGATTCGCTCCTCCAGGGTACAGCTCCGGCCGATGGGCGAGATGTTCAGCATGCCATTCCGGAACTCGATGAAAGTTCCGCTGGTGGTGATGGAGGTGGGAGGGAGAGGAGGGAGCCAAAGAGAAGGAGAATCACCCTGAATTTAAATCCAGCCCTGTCTGAGACCATAGCCTCCTGGGACTTCACAGGGGACAGGGATCCACCCACCAATAAACCAGGGTCCATGCATCTCCAGGTTCCACCTGAGACCCGCCCCTTTCCTCCCTCAGGCCTAGGGTTGGGAGGAGGGGCTGGACACGGGCTGGGTGGCCTCTCACCGCTTCTTGGGCAGTCTGAGCAGGGCCATGTAGCGGAGGCAGAAGTTGATGAGGTCCTGTAGCAGCTCCTCCCCCAGGTGGTTCTGGATGGTCTGGGCAAGAAACGCATGGCTCTGAGTGTGGTGGGCATGGCGCCCCTTCCCCAGCCCAGGACAGAAGGCACCCACAGACTGTCCCCCTGTGGAAAACTGTCCCAGGCTAATGCCCTGGGGGGCACTGACCTGCTTGGAGAGCAGTCGACCATGCTTATACTGCACCGTCCCATTCTCAGCAAACACATAATCGAAATTCTCGATGACTTCAGGGCCATGTAGCAGCCAGGGGAGAAAGAAAGAGCATGAGACCAGGTACCCAGAGCCCAGGAGAGAGATGAAGCCCACTCTCCTTGGTTTGGCCTTCAAAGGCATGAGTTCCACCCTGAACCTACTTTTCCAGCCTCCTCTCCTTCTGCAGCTTTGATTTTTTACTAACAAACAAGCCAGTCACACCTCTGGGTCTTTGCTTATGCAGGTCCTTCTGCCTGTAACCCCTCCCCTCCGCTCCCCCCTCCACTCCTCCTCCACGATCCAGCTCTCTCCTCTGGAAGCCTCCCAGGACTCCCCGGCAGAGGGTGTCGTTTCCGCTCTGTGCTCCCTCAGCTCCTCTGTACAGGGGCTTCCGTTTTGTTTTACGGCTTCCATCACCACGTTCTCAAGGCTGGTTGCATGCGGAAGTTTTCAGCTCTGGCTGCCACAAGTGGCAGGAGTGGGCGGGAGTGAGGAGGTGGAGGGAGCACAGCCAGAAGGCTGGTACGGGGCCCAGGTGGGAGGGCTCGATCACCTGGACAGTGATGGGGCAGTGGAGATGGAGACATGCATGCAAAGGGAAATATTTCTGGACTCAATGATGGAATGAACAAGGGGGTGGGGAAAGGGAAAAGTCATGGAAGTTTCCGGTTGGAAGAACTGGAGGCATTTGCCTCAAATGAACTGAGACCAGGAACTCAGCTGAGAACAGGGGCTCTGGGTCCAAACAGCTTCCTGGGTGACTTCAGAATCCTCCTCTCTTAAATGGGATAATCAGGCCCACCCTAAAATGTGGTTATGAGGATGAAACGAAAGGAAGTTAATGCGTGGTCATTTCCAAAAATGGTAGCTATTATTGATTATGCCCACTTGAAGATGAGGAAATCAAGACTCAGCAGGGAGAACTGAGAATGTAAACTATGTAAGGACAGGATTCTGCCTGCTTCGTTACCTGCTGTCTCTCCAAAGCCTGGCACAGAGCCTGGCACATGGTAGGAGCTCACTAAACGTGTGTTGAATCAGGAAGGGAAACATCTGGCTATTCCTCCCACATCCCAGAAGCAGGACTGGGTCTTTGAAGGCACAGTGGTCCAGGGATCTCCTGAACTCCTCACTCCCTCCATTTGCACCCCGACAAGGAACTGGCTCAGGCCCTCTCCTCCTACCTTCGTCCCCGTCTCCCAGCTGCTCAGCAATCTTAGAGTAGTCGGAGCCACCCACCACACCGATCTGCACCCTGCTTCGCAGTTTCTGCAGGAAGGCAGCCACCTCAGGGTCAATTTTCTGCAGGGGGGTGAAGAAGCACAGGATTCTGCTTGGCAGCATGTCTGGGACCCCCACTTAGCCCTCAATCAGTACTCAGAACCCAGGGAGCCCACGTTCCACCTGGATCTGAGGCACTTTAAGGTTTAGAACCCAGACGTCAAATTAGATGCACTTGGTTTCAAACTCTCGCTCAAGTCCCTCAAGAGTAGGATGATTTTGAGCAAATGGCTTTGCCTTTCTTTGCCTTAGCTGTTCCATCTGGAAAAAGGGGATCAGAGTGGAGGTTACTCATAGGATTAAATGAGACAGTGCATCCAAAGAGCTTGGAAATGAACAAGCAATTCACTGGTGACTGATCAGGTGAAGGGATTCCCCACTAAGGAAACGTAAACTAATGAGTTATAATCCAAGTTTTCCAACATTCACATATTCAAAGCTGACATCTAGAGTGGACAACGATGTTGGGCAAACAGGCCCGCTCAACTGCTACGGTCAGAGTGTACACTGTACGGCCACTTTGGGGGCAATCGGAAAGATCTATTAAAACTTAAAATGTATGTGCCTTGTCACCCAGAATTTCCACTTCTCTTGCCCAGGTGTACATGGAGGTTCATTGGGTCTGTAACAGTGAAAAACTGCAAACAACTTACATGCTTGTCAATCAGAGAACGGCACATGCCTGCTCTGAACTGCTATACTGTGGTTACACGGAATAAGGCAAGCCTGTGCTTCCAACATGGGAGAGTCCCAGACGCGCTGTCAATTGTCAAAAGCAAGTTGCAGGGAGGCACATACAGTATGATATCCCTTATTTAAAAACAAAACTAAACAATGCTTAATATTTCCTCTGGGCAAACAGATTCGGCTAAAGGTCTGGAAAGCCACAGGAAGCAACCACAGCACTTTGGGGAGAGGGCCAGGCCTGGGATCCTGACATGGTCAGAGGGGATTTTAGCCTTCTCTGTTTTCATTCTTACAAGGGAATGTGTTCATGAATATGTGTATAATTAAAAATTAACTTTTAAAAAGCGCTAAGGACAGGGCCTGGCTGGTGGACAGCAGTAACACTGCTCTGGTTCAGGCTATTGGGTTAGTGGAGCAAAGGGTGAAAGAGAGAAGGGTGGGGCTGTGCCTAGGCCCTGCCACCCTCCCTCCACTGTCCTCTGCCTCCCATCCCTGAGGACCCTGGGAGCAGCTGGAAGGCAGAGGGACCTGATTCCTCCCTGTGCCCCCAGGGCCCTCCCACAGGGGAGGGGATGGGGCATTCAGGACCTAAGAGGGGAGGCTAAGACCTGGGTTCCCATCAGCCTCTGCCTTGCAACCCAGCCCTACTGGCTCCCTGCTCCAGGAGATCCCCCTGTTGGTCCTGGGGGCCCCAGACTGGAGGGTGGAATACCCTCAGGGTGGGCAAGAAAGAGGCCTGCTGATCTTTGCACCCAGTTGGTGAGCGTGGGTCTGGGGGGCTCATCCTGGCTGAGATCCAAAGGGAGAAAAACTGAGTGTGGAGCAGATGTTGCAGGATCAACACAGTGAGATGCCTTTAGAAGGAAACTGCACTCCCAGCCTCCCTGTGCCACAGTATCCTCACTGTGACCAGACTAGGCCCGAGGCCGCTGGCCCCCGGGTGAGCAGAGCCCATAAACTCAACCGAAAAGATACAGAAGCCCTCCCTCCCTCCATGACAGGGGGTGGGAGGTAAAGTGGGGAGGGGCTTGAGAAACTAGACGCCGGCGCAGGCCTGCAAAGGTCAGCGGGATGGCTCCAAGACCCCGTGCCTCCCACCAGAAGGCGACTCTGACGCTTGGGTGCGCTCAGACCCTGTCTGGCACCACAGGGCTACCGGCGCGCCCTAGGGCTGAACTGGGGTGGGAGCCCGGGCTGGGGAGGCGGGGGCGTCCCGGAGCCAGGCCTTGGCGTGTGGAAGCCTGGGGCTGGGGAGAGGAGCGAGGCCCCCGCTCGCAGCCTCCTCCCTCCAGAATCCGACCCAGTCCTGCCGCTCCGGGGCAGAACGTGGGCGCAGACGCGTGGGGGCTGTGACGTGGGGGCCCGGATCCCCATCACTCCCAGCAGGCGGCCCCAGGCAGTGAGGGGCCGGGTACCACTGCATCCCACGCTCGGTCCCGGGGATTCAGGGGTCACGTCGCTGCAGGCGCCACATTCCGCCTCGGGGCGTCCGCGCGACACTCCCGATGGGAGCTTCCGAACGTCGGGGCCCTACCTGGCGAGCGGGCGTGAGGGTCCCGTCCACGTCAAAGAGGCAGAGGACGCGCTCCTTCCTGCGGGCGCCCTCAGCGGCGACCGCCATGGCTGCAGCTCAGCGCCGGGCAGAGTCGCAGGAGGCGGCCGCCGGAGCCGCGTCGGGAGGACGCCAGATGGGGTGGGGCCTGGGGGCGGGGCCAGCAGGCCGGCCGGATTGCGCCAAACGGAGGGGCGGGGCCAGTGCGTCATCTTGGCGGGAGAGGGGTTGATTCTCATTGCACCAGGCGGAGAAGGGGCATGGCATAGGGCGGGGCAGAGCCCGGCCCCATTCCGCCTGCTGGTCCCAAACCAGACTGAGGCGGAAAGTGAGGCATAGAACCCGGAGGAACGGGGTGGGACTAGATGGGTACCCTGGCGGGGTGATTCTGATTGCATCTGGCCAAGGAGGGGCTGGACGCGGGCAGGGCCTCGAACCCGCAGTGCAGTGCCGGGTGGGGCGAGGGCGGGACTCAGAGAGCCCGGGCCGTGTCCGCCCGCCATCGGTCACTACTTGACTCACCTCCTGCCCGCTATACCTTTGCCCTACAAATCTTGAGTTTTAAGAAATCTCCAGATAGCCTTTGCTCAAGCTCTGGACTTTGCCAGTTGGCCTTCCCCGACTCTTACTCCTCCTCCTGCCGTTCTGTCCACCCCATGAGGCCCAGCTCACGGTCCACCTCCTTTGAGAAACCTTCCTGGATCCTTCTCCTAACAACTATTTAACCATCACGTTGACTTTGGAGTCAGTTCCAGGTTGTTTCCCCAGTTCCACGGCTATGTGATTTTGGACAAGTCACTTCACCTCTCTGAGGCTTTGTGTCTCCATCTGTGAAATGGGAAGAACACCACCTACCTTGTAGGGTTGCTTTGCATGTGAAAAGAAAAACTGAACGTAGAAGAGCCTGCATAGTACCTGGCACAGGACAGGCCCACTCCAAAGGAGAATTTCTATAGATGTGCTTGAGATTAAACAGCTATTGCCTGTCAAAAGTCTTAAAAATGTGCAGAACTTTTGAGCCAGCAATTCAACTTTTAGAAAATAAGAAGGGGCCGGCCTGGTGGTGCAGCGGTTAAGTGCGCACATACCGCTTCTCAGCGGCCCGGGGTTTGCTGGTTCAGATCCCGGGGTGCGGAAATGGAACCGCTTGGCACGCCATGCTGTGGTAGGCGTCCCACATATAAAGTAGAGGAAGATGGGCAGGAATGTTAGCTCAGGGCCAGTCTTCCTCAGCAAAAAGAGGAGGACTGGCAGTAGTCAGCTCAGGGCTAGTCTTCCTCGAAGAAAAGAAAAGAAGAAAAGGAAAAAAGTTGGAGATTGGTTAGATTAACTATGGTCCATCTATAAATGAAGTGGTGTGAAGCCATAAACATCTGTGTTGTAGAATATTTAACAGAAAAAGCATGATCCCATTTTGGTGGATAAGTAGCAGGCTGACTCTGGGTGTTGGTATTATGGTGAATTTCAAGTCCTTCCCCTCCTTGGAAATGTATTGACTGCAGCTTGCTGTTCTCCAGGATTCTCGATTTCTTCCTGCTTCCATACTGCCAGGGCCAAAGGCCCATGTCTGCCTCCCTCTGTGCTCCCAGGGGTTGCCCTTCTGCTGGAGGTTGTGCTTGGGTGGGCATTTTTGCTGCATCCACCATCCTTGTTCTGATGCCTGTGATCAACTCAGGCCGTTTTGGTGATACAGAGACACATCCGCACACCTACAGAGTGGCGCTGCTGTGCACAATGCTTGTGATAGGCCTGTTTGCTTCTGTCTTGGGAGCTGTGGTGCCCTGGGGAGATCACTGGAGGCAGAGTCAGGAGACCTGCAGTTTGTTCCCTGCTAACTATTAGGACTTGGAGAGACCTCCTTCCCTCACTGGGCCTCAGTTTCTTCATCTATATAATGGGGATGTAATCCCCACATGAAAGGAATATGAAGGGAGATAGGAATAACTGATATTTAGTGATCCCTTACTGTGTGCCAGCCATCAGACTGGACAGTTGACCACAAATCTTCATTCACTCCCAAAGCAGCTCTAGGAGGTCTTATTGTCTCCACTTGGTGAAGAAAAAGGAAAAGGATGTGCCCAAGGCTGCAGAGAGCACCTCGGAGGCCGGCAGGGCTGAGACTGGGGTGAGCTGGGTAAGGTGAGGTACTTGCCACAGGAAGAAAACTGAAGAGGACACCAAAAAGCTCAGTAATCAAAATGAATAGTGATGAGGATCAAGGCTGCCCCAGGGAGAGAAGCCCAAGGCATCCTGCCCTACAGACCAATCTACATCATCCTCCAGGAAGCACAGGACGCCCTGACCTGATCCGACCTGATATGTATCCAAAGTTATAGGACCACCCAATAACCCGGACCCCACCTGCACTGATACCATTTTAACGACGTTTTTACATGATCTTTCCTTTGTCTTGTAAAGAAATAGCACACATACCTATGCCTCATAAATTTAGCCCTGCCCTCAACCCATGTTTGCAGCTCTTCACCACCCATGGGCCCTGTCCCCATGCTCCTCCATGCTAGTCTCTGAGTAAAGGAGCTCTAACACTAGACCTTGAGAGTCCAAGAAATCTTTCTTTCGCCTCCTTGGCTCACCGAGCCCACGTCATTTTTTCTGGGGGCATGTACTGGGATCTTGCTTCACCGGCTTGTGAGCTAAAGTTCTGGTAAGTGCACTTTTCTTCCTTGTGCCTTCCTTTTTTTCAAGGATGGATTTAAATTCACTTCTTCATTGGGAACCTTCTTGGACAGCTGTATGAATCCACGTTTGCTGCCCATGGCCTCTCTGTGGGCAAAACATGGCATTCAGCTTGAAGAAAATCAGTACCTTAAGCCCGAGGGTGATGAAGAATGAATTTATCCATTCCTTCCTAATCCTGTCTCTAATATATAAATTTTACATGGGCACAGGTTGACCACTTAAGTCATTAGGATGGTCGCCAATCTCCAAGACTCCCGGGGCAGGCTTCTTTTCCTAAGGCTGGATTGGTATCCCTCCCTCTGGCTCCTCACCACACTCTGAGCCGTGGGAAAGTCCCAATCGGGACTCCAGTTCAAGGAAAGTACCAAACTCTAACCTTCGGTTGAGTATGGGAACCCCTTCTTGGGAGAACGGCTCCAGGATGCCATTCAGTAGAATGTCCCCCAGACCAGTGGAAAATTCTTCACTGTTTATCTCTATTCTTCTTTTATCTCTGGGACCATTCACCAGGCACCTATTACTGCCAGGCATAATAGGGAAGATATACAGGGATGCAATGCAGGGGACGCCCTGTCACCCCTTGCTATAGGAACCCCACAGGAGGACCAATGGGTAGGATGCTGCCCTAGGCTCAGGGGGGATTTGAAGGTAATGGACCCTTTTCTTTCATTTCTCTTGAAGTTACAGTGACCATTTTGGGTTCCTTTTGAGCTTTGCAACCGAGAAATGAGGAATCTTTAAAGAGTCGAAGGCTGCACCCCTGGGAGCCCCCGCTCTGGTTTCTGGGCCTGATCCCCTCCCAGCGACCCTAAGTGGGGTGCCCTCTCTTGGCGGTTGATTCATTGAGTATTTTGGGTGCCTACTGAGTCGGTTGTGAGGATAGGAGACCTGTGATTTATTCTGCGAACTGTCCTGCTGGGTTTGTGTGTCCCGGCATGGGAACTGTTGTGTGACCCTTGATAACCCTTGGGAAGAGGCCATGAGGGCGAGGCCTGATCTCTTCTTTTCCTTTCTCTGTCTGTCTCATTTGTCACCTCCTCTGTCATCAGCAAGTTGAGGTTAAGGTCAGGCTGGACCTGAGCAGAACCTGGACCTTCTGTAAAATTGAAAACTTGAAACCCTTTTGCCAGGGACTTAACTCTCAACCCTGGTGCTGGGAGTCCCAGCCCCCAGCCATCTCTAGGCCTTTGCCTCTTGCCTCCCTGGCTCGCCTTGTGCTGGCTCAGGGACTAAGTGCCCGGGCTGAGTGGGATTTGACTAAATCTTTTAACTATATTGATGGCTGCAGTCGGTCTCTGCACCCTTCTCCAGCAGCTGTCAGTTGGACACTGTCTTTACTGCCATGGGGAACACCCCAAGCATACCCAGAGACTCACCCGTTGGGTGCATTTTAACTAATTGAAAACACTTTCAATTGGATGGGTTATGCCCTAGAAACTGCATCATGAAGAAAACTTGAGGGGTTTCTCTGTGCCTTAGTGATGTCATTGGACAGGTAGATCAACCTAGAATGTCATTTGAGTTGCAACCCAGTTTCCGAGCAATCAACAGCAACCGTCCTCAGGAAATCCTTGTAAGGCTGGAAAAGCAGCTCTAGAGGTGGTTCAGCTTCCACCCATTTCCCTTCTCTCAGAGAGCTTGCAAATCCTCTGGGGACTACCTAGCCCATCACTAATTCCTAAGACTGAAGAAAAAAAAAAAAGGGAAAAAGGAAGAAACAGCCATAAGCGTGCCCTTGCCAAAAAATCTAGCATCTTAAATGTTTTCTCCACAAATATTAGTAAAAAGGCTGAAAACAGAATTTGGATTCATAACTGGTGAGCTTTGGCAGTAATTTTTAAAACAACAGCTGGGGAGCTACTGTGTATGTGTGTCTATATGTATGTCACATGTGTGTGATATTTTACCTCTGGATGGTATGGCCAAAATTAAGGGCTCTGTTTAATTGGCTTAAAGTAAGCGCTTACATAAATTCTAAATGTAGTAGAAATTAACCCAATATCTTTCAAGTTAACATGATGTGAATTAACCTTTGGTAAATGAAAGCTTGTTTAAGTTTGTTGGTTTGATTGAAATAGGCGTGTTCTCAGAATTGTCAGTATTTGGATATGATGCAGACATGCAGCCTGGTTTTACTGACCAAATAAGCTCACGTTGTCTGTTAGAAGTTCATCAGCAAAATAACAGCTTTAAATGATAGCTAATTTTGTTTAATGTCTCATGAAGTTTTCGTGGGTAATCCGAACATAAGTGTTGGAAATAAATGATTTAAATAGATAAAAATGGGTAAGAGTTTGTGCGTACAATAATTATGTTTTATGGCCTGTATACCTGGGGAAAAAAACAGCTTCCAAATTCTTTTTGGTAACTTAAAACTTTAGAGTTTGGCCAAGTTAATTTAAACGATAAAAATCTGT